CCCAACAAAATACAAACATTAAAAAGAACTCACTGTGACCTTTTTGCTTTGCTTGTTGTAGCTGTTTTGGCTGGCCCATTGTCTTGAGACTATAGTGTCTCATATTGGCACACTCAGTCCTAGCCTTTATTTTCACTTACATGTTTACCTTCTTATAAGTGTGTGGGTGTGGTTTTCATGCCTGTGGGAGAGGCGTACTTGATGCAGTGATAGTAACTATGAGTTTATTTAATTCTAGTCCTTGTTTGATTTTTTTTTTCCTGTAGGGTTACGAACACACTAAACTGCTTAATATTATAAAGTACATTGCCACATTTTCACAGAGAAAGAATGTATTTGCAGAGATTTGGCTTACTAAATTACTAAATTTCTTAAACATGTTGATGCCATTGGTAGAGGAGGAAGGGAGTACTATTTGTTCAGTTATGATTTTGGGTCAATAGTGCAGTGTTCTTCATATTCACTGATCCTGGTACATAAGCCAAGGGCAGTAAAGCGGTGACAGTAAATCATTGGTCCTGCCCAGCAGCTGTCTGGTGTGAAGGGCAGAGTGGCAAGCACTGAACGCACCTGCTGTTGCTACTTTCATGTTTCCTGTCAGGCCCAGGTTACAGAGCACGAGGCAATTCGTGTTGATCATACAAAGCACCTACTTTGTGGCAAGGTAGTGTGCTCGGGGCTAAGGATACTTTGGTGACCAGGAAAGACAGCACCTTGTACTCCTGACGTTTTATATCTAGACAGTGAAGGGCACCCGAGTTTGGCTACCCAAAATCTGCCTTTTGGGATAATGATTTTAAGTTGGTTATTAAAAAACAAAAGACTTAGAAAAGACATTTGACCCTCTCCATTTTCTGCCCAAGAGAGTCAAATGGAAAGACCTGCTGCAGGAAAAAAAAAAATCCCAAGAACCTTAGCTTACTCATTTTAGCCTAATTTGAATTAAGTATTGTAGATAAGAAGATGCCAAGCTGGGACCTGACTGCTAGATCACCATTGGACCATTGAAGCTAAAATTTGCCTGCCATGTGTGTTATACTCTTCTTCAATTACCTCTAAAGCATCCATCTTTATTTTTGAAATCTAAGACCCCATTTCCTCCTTTTCTCCTTTGTCCAAAATGACACATAAACACCCAATTTTGCCTCACTGTCTTTGGGAATTTTCATGCTTATGTATTAAAACTGATACCCCTCCGGTATCTGTCTCTGTTAATTTATTAGCCTTGCTAACAGAATTTAGAAGGTAGGAGGAAAAGTATTATCTTTTTTAAGCTCCTCCCAGAGGAAGACAGAAAGTGAAAACGACTTACAAGATGTATTACACCTAAGACGTGGAAAGGTGGGGCTTTGGGACCAGCAACGTAAGGCCTTAACCTCCTTCAGAGGGAAAAGGGACTTAAAAGGCAAAACTTTTAGACTTGAAACTGGTTAGTTTGAATGACTATATGGTTTCTATCATATATCTAACATATGGAAGATATTTGATAGATAATCTATTGAACAAGGTATGAATATGTAAATAAGTGACTTCATGAATAAAATAAAATACTGTACTCCTATATAGGCATCACTTTTGAGAAGCTATACTAAATCATTGTTAGTCTTTGTGTGTACTTTTCTTGTGACACTATACTATATCGTCTTTAGTCTCTATGTGTATCTTGCTTTATCCTGAGCTGCAGTTTGAGAACCACTCTCCAAGGGGAAATTAATACTGAAGAGTTGGAGGCCCACTTGGACCGGAGCTTTGATGGGCAGGCCTGGGACTAGTGTGGTGGTGGCGGCTGTAGTGGTGAGCCATCCGCGATGAGGAAGCAGGGAAGACGAGGAGGTGCTAGCTGGTGCTATCTCGTCTGGAGAGACTCCTTCTATTGACTTGGAAGTTGCCACACTGTTTTTCTTAAGGGAACTGATTGATAACAGAGCGTGGCAATACGGGAAAAATAGGACATTTTCTCCTTCAACCCAATGCCAATCACAAGAACTAGAGAAAAGGCAGAGATGCCTCATCTGCTTCTGTCACATTGGGACTCAAGACCACAGGTGTAATGAACACCTGTTACAGTGCTGCCCCCTTCACTTGGAATGACCACTCAAATGCAGGCGTGGGGCTATGGTGGCCCTGTTAGTGTTGTGATACTCTGACCTTAGAACCACAGGTCACTGGTTTAGGGGTAGACTCCTTACCCAAGTCATATTCATGGAAGCATTCTAGAGAGAAAGTCTACCAACTCTAGCAGCAGAAATAACCCGAACTTCTAAACTTGATCATTTTATTCTTCTGTCAAATTGGTGAGATACATGATTGTCCTAATGGTACTCAGAGTCCGTTATCTCCTGGTTAGTTAAGCTGAGGTTGTTTCTAAGGTTTGCTAAACTAATCCAAGGGGAAAATTAAGATCAAATCTTTAGGAATCAGACTCACTATTTTTTAAAGGCATAAATTGCACATTAAAAAGAGAAGCTGTATTTTCAAGCAATACAATAAATGATGAAGTTTTTATACTTAAGTACATAGTACCAGAAGTAAAACGCTATCAAAAATGAGAATTTTATTTTATTATGAAGTGTTTAAAATTTTAAAAAATGTTCACTGTTTAATAGTGAAACTATTTTTCTGTAAAATGTGCTCAGGATTAAATTAATTACACAATAGACATGTTTATAATTTTGAGTTTTTCTATCCAAGAATAAGGTATGCATTTTCCTTAATTCAAATCTTTTAAAATGCCCCTTAGGTTTTTAAATCTAAGTTTTGCACATTTTTCACTTATTGCTGTTATAAGATGGGTTTCCCCATTTATGTTTTAACTGCATATATGAAAGCTATTGATTTTTTAAATATTAGTTTTGTACTTAAAATACCTTAGTGAATTCTCTTATTGTTTCTAACAGTTTCTCCAGCTGATTTCTTTTTCTTTTTTCTTTTTTTTAGGCACAAAATCATGCCATTTGCAAATAAAAATAGCTTTGCTTCATTATCTCTTATTTTATACCACTCATTTCTTCTCTCATGACTAGAACATTCAGAAAAAAAAGAGTGTGGATAATAATGGTGATACCAAAAATTCTAGTTTTTTGGCTTACTAATGATGATGTTCTTAATATTAATCTATAAACATGATACTGACTTTTGGTGCTATTCTTTTAAAAGCAAGCCTAAAATTGCCTAAATTATAATAGTAAAATATTCAAACAATCAAAATGTTTTAATCTTCTTATTATGACATCAAGAAGTTTTTTGCCAACTAAACTCATTTTTGCAAATCATACATTTTTCAAATAAGTCAGTATCCTATAATTTAGTATCAAAATTAAGTTTTATATACACTAAATAAAATTTGGCAATAACATCTAGATATAATGAAAAATAATGTGCTTTCTTAAAATTTACTATGATTAGAGAGACTGACTGTCTTCATGCAAGGAATTTTCTGCCTTACACACAAAAAAGGGTTAAGATTAAATTAATGGTTGTTGAAATAGTAGCATCTTTTTATGGATGAACACAGCATACACATAAAGATACACACAATTATGTATTTGAAAGTGAATAAAGAGATCCCCTGTATTGTTGAGTTTTTAAAAAGTAGCTTAACTAATGAGGGGAGGACTTCTTTAAAATTGGTGCTACTGGTTTCACAGGAGCAGACTTAACCACAGTTACCTTAATTAGTTAGCTACACCCCTTCTTGGTGTAGGGAAAAATCCTCCTACCCTTATGAAGAGCAGCAGTGACCCCTACTGCTCAAATCAGACAGCTCTGGGTGTCAGCCGGGACAGGGATTCTTTACCTTTTCTGGGTCGTGCATTCTTTTGTGAATCCAAATAAACCTACAGGTCCTCTCACCAGAACAAAATCTAGGTCACTATACACACAAAACTTGCATACAATATACCATATTTTGCCATTTATAACGTGCACTTTTTTGCCTAAAATTTTGAGGGAAAAATAAGGATGCGCATTTTACATGGGTAGTGCCTGAAATACCTTGTATCCGTTCTTGTGTTTTGTAATTATTTGTTACATAAAATTTCTTGTACCATAATATGTTCAAAAATAAATGCTAAAATTCCTTTGTAATACACAAAACATCTAAATATATATAAATTAAAAATTTAATTAAAAATGTAAAACTATTTTTTTCCTGAAAGTTTGGGCCAAAAATGTGGGTGCGCATTATACATGACAAAATACGGCAGGTAACTCATGGATCTCTGGACTAGATAACAGCGTCACTGAGCTTTCTCTAAAACGTTAAAGGGGATAATTCTGCACATTCAAGAGTTTTTAAAAACTAGAAGCCTAATCTAGTTCAAATCACCAAAATTATTACAATGCTTATGTGAGTTTGGGCTTATAATCTTTTTCTTCTTTTCCAGGAAGATTAACTAACAAGCTAACAGGCCCAAGTAGACAATTATATTTCTGTAGATAAATTAGACTCCTCCTTACATTTCTATAAATTACTTCCATTTAAAATCATGTTCTATTGCATGGTTATTATTGTCTTTGTAATTACATTATGATAGCTAGTACAGTATATACTATATAATTATGGCATTTCCTTGTAAGTCCTACCATCAATGATCATTGTCAGAGAAAATCAGTTTTAGGCAAAACTGACGCTCAAAATCAAAGTGACTGAGTATTCAAGGATGGCCTTAATGTGTTTAATTAATTAAAAATTAATGAATTTCTAAATGAGATTATCGATTCACAGTGCTATTGATAGGTTCCCCCCTTCTCAAAGTATATGCAGTATGCTGTGGGGATCAATGGAGCTGATTACGGTTAAGGCAAAAGCGGAGTAATAAAGTTCGTTTATTCAAGTTTGTAAACGTCCAATTCCATCAATTTTCCTTTATACGTAGACACACACGTTTTCCAGGAGCCTGAGTTCTTACGACCGAGAGGCTGCCGGGAAGGGAAAGGCCCGCCCCCTGAGTCCAGGACCCTGCGGCGACCGGCGTGCGCTGCGCGGTCTGCGTCACATCCGGGCTCAAGACGCCAGATTCCGGAAGAGGCTGCACAGTTGTGGCGGCTCTTTCTGCGTTGATGTTTAGTTTTTTTGCTGCGGGACCGGCGAAATACACAGCGGCATCATGGTGGAGGTAAAGTGACACTTGGGTACTGAAGGGTATTTGCTTTGGGGCTGTTTTGCTCTGGCAGCGGCCGTGGGGGATCGAGGGTGCTGGGAACCTGGAGAGAGCAGAGGCTGGGAGGGGAGGCTGCTTGGCCGAGGCCAGGTTGTCTCCCAGGGTGTACAGAAAGGGAGAGAGGCTGGATGAGGGCACGAGTTGCAGGTTGCGTCTGGGCGGAAAGCCTGAGATCATGCCCGCAGCCCTTATTTGACCCAAGGGCACTTGAGGTGGGCCCTGTTCTCGGAGGCGGGGCTTCTGTCATTGGCCGACCACTGGTATTCGGCGCCTGCGGGGTAGTGTCAAGTGAGTGTGTGTCCAACGAGACAGGCGATCTTCTCTGGTGTTAACTTTGTCTGTTTTCCAGAAAAACCTGCCAATCTTGACTTTTTGCATCTTTTCCTAGCTTGAAAAACCATTCTGCTAGCAAGACTTGCTTCTTTTTTCTCATAACCATTTCTTGACTTTTGTCCATATCCACTGCCATCACCTTAATTAAGACCAACGTCATCTTTCCCCTGGACAGGTGAATTAGCGCTCAACTGATCTTGCTTCCGTTTTTGTTACACCCCCCCGCCCCAATTAATATGTTTAAAAACGTTAGTTGGTTCCTTTTTTTCCTTTTCCTTGCTTAAAACCCTTTATTGGTCCTTTGTTACTGGAGCAAAGATACAGACTGTTGCAATGGTCTAAAAAAAGCCCTCATCTGATCTGGACCTTTTCTACCTTTGCAACCTCATCTTGCATCACAACTCACCCTCTTACCGAATATATAAACCTATTCTGCACCTTCTGGCATTATTTCCATTACTAACCACCTTTGTATGTGGCTTTCTTCCTCTCTGTCTGGATTGTTTTTACCTCTTTTCTGTGCAAAGCTAATTCCCTTTCTGCTTAAATAGCACCTGAGAGACCTCTTTCATAACTATCTTAACTTCTTGATCTATTCTCTGTCTCAGTCCCTTGCTTATTTCCTTCCTAGTACTAAAACAAATTGTGGGGTTGTTTTGCTTATTTTTGTTTTATCTCTTCCCTCTTCAGTACAGGGGCCATGACTATCTTTGCATCATTCTGTTGTTAGCTTCTAGCACAATACCTACCAGACACATAGTAGTAGTTCAGTAAATTTTTATTGAATAAATGACTAATCTTAAGCAGCACTCTTAAGTTGGTCTACCTAGGGCCCTAGCCAAAGAGGAGCTTTCTCCATTTCTCTGAGCTTGACTTCTGTAGCTTGCTACAAATAGCTGTGGTGAGTGGTACAAAGACTTTACATTTTAAAACATGTAACAACTAATTCAGTGTTAACTTAGGTTCGATGTGTTCCGTTTGTAGCCAGACAAGTAATGACACTTTTTCTTTTTAGGAGGTACAAAAGCATTCTGTGCATACACTTGTGTTCAGATCATTGAAGAGGACCCATGACATGTTTGTAGCTGATAATGGAAAACCTGTGCCTTTGGATGAAGAGAGGTAATTGCTGGAACATGTAAACTTCAAGTATTTGGGGACGAGAGCAGGGAGAAGGGAACCTTTAAAGTTTAGTGAGGAACACTAACACACATAGGCTATCTGTTTAATATGAGTGGTGTCAGGGCATAATTTAAGCTGATTTAACTTTTTTTTTGGTCTGATCTTTTACATTAATTAATTAAGTGCACTTTACAAATACCCAGTAATAGGAGAGGGCGTTATGTTTTATAATCAGTCACTTTGTATGTGCTTTCAGCTGCCCTCCCGCTGCTCTCAGAGCCTTGCTGAGCTGAAACTGTCCCTGGCCAGCACTGCTGCTCCCATCTTTCTCGCTAGAATGGTGAAGATTTTTGAGTGGTGGCGTATTTTAGTGCTTCAGCTCCAGCTCCAGCCTGGGATTGCGTTATGTGCATTGTTCCCCTTTTGTCCTTTACCGTTCTTTTAAAATCTGCTTAATTCCTCAAGCAAGCATTTATATTTGATTTGTAAATTGGATTATTCATGAAAGTAATATAATAGGTACATTTTTTAAAAAGATTGTACTAATTAAGTATTTCGATTAATTCTAACTAACCTTTTTTGATATGCCCAGTAAGGGTTATTAGAAAACTTTTACTATATTTTTATATTTAAATATTTGAAGAATAATATATCGACTGAGGGTTTTTTTAAAAGATATATTAGTTTCTATATTTAAAAACCAGACCCTTGATAACCGATCATGAAAAGCTTTATATTTATTGGTTAACAGACTAAAATATTATTTAGACTTAATGGATGCATGGTGGATTGTGAATAAAAGTGCGGAAATGAACTTGGAAATTTTGAGCTTTTTAAATGCAGTTTAACTTTAAAATCTTCATAGAAATTTTTTCTACATGATTGGGAAAACTTAAGCTATATAATCACTTGTTTCTTGTCTATCTCTGAATGTGTTTGTATTAGTGAATACATATAAAGTGCTCAAAAATACATTCTTATGTTTATAACTTTTTAAAATAGTCACAAACGAAAAATGGCAATTAAGCTGAGGAATGAATATGGGCCTGTGTTGCATATGCCTACTTCGAAAGAAAATTTAAAGGAGAAGGGTCCTCAGAATGCATCGGATTCATATGGTCATAAACAATATCCTGCCAATCAAGGTGAGTATGGCATTGTCAGAAATGTCAGGACTTATATGTGAATTTTAAAAATAGATCAATGAAATGTATTATTAGTGCCTCTCCTGGAAGGACTAATTAAAGCTAAGCCTTCTTTATTATTATGTAAAGATTATATAATAATAATCTTTAATATATATCTTTAATATATAACCAGTATTATATTGGAAGTCTTGATTTCCTCATTAGAGTAGTGAGTGAGATTATAGGTTGGTAGATTTTTTCTTACAGGAAATAAAAAAGTTGTAGTATAATAAGGGCAGAAATTCTTAGGAAATGGAGAAGGTCATGGGGGAGACTAAAGGAAAAATTCTAATTTGTGCGGAGAATGTCTATCTCTTTTTCAGAAAGGTGATATTAAGTACTGAAATTGTAGTGAATATACATAATCCAAGATTCCACTGGGAAACCATGTGCTTAGAAGAGAAACCAGAGTGGTTTATTACTCTATAGGATGATCTCTCTACACAGCACTGCTATGTAGCAAATGCACAGGCTTTCTTGACATCATGTCTCCAAATGCTCAAGGAAATCACTGTGTACATGATCTTTAGTAGTCAAAACAAAAATGATCAATGTACCTTATTCCTGAGGCTTGGGTTTAGTTGTGAAAATTGTAGAAATCTGGTTGATAATTTAATATTTAGTTCACTAAAAGAGACGATACTACCCTGGCTGGTGTGGTTCACTTGGTTGGAGCGGGTTTGATTCCCGGGCAGGGCACCTGCCTAAGTTGCGGGTTCGGTCCTGGATTATGGCACATATGAAAGGCAACCGGTCAATGTTTCTCTCTCACATCCATGTTTCTCTCCCTCTCTTCCTCCCTTCCCTTCTTTCTAAAATCAATGAGCATGTTCTTGGGTGAGGATTTAAAAAAATATTAAAAAGAGATGATACTAATACGTAAAATCAATTTTGCCATTGATGAATTTCTCTCTCTTTTTTTTTTTTTTTGAAGGACAAGAAGTTGAGTATATGGTGACAGGTACGCATCCCTATCCAGCAGGACCTGGTAAGTGAAGTACATATTAATACTGTCTTACTGTCACATGTATTTTCATGAATGACCTAATAATATGAGTCCCATCACCTATAAAATACAAGATAAGCTCAATAGCCAGGCATTCGGGCATAGCTTTTTAGGTGATAATTAACTAATGCTTAGTATCACAGGCATTCATTTGGCAAACATTCTTAAGCACCTATATCTTTTTAGGTACTGTGCTAGGAATTCAAAGACAGTAGGACTGCTCCAGACTAAGGCAGGTGTATTATTTAGAGGTTTAGGCAGACATGTAAATATCACAAAGCTTATAAAAGTGCTACCAGGAGTGCTGGTATAGAAACAAGTATGATGGAAATGTTTCTTGGGTGTGTGTGGAGGAACTGGCTCACCAATGGCGTGGCTGGGTTGGCAGGAGAGGATAAAAAGGTTAGTAAACCTGGGTTCCAGTCATTCTATTTTTTAATCGTCAGCCAAGGATATGTTTTGATTTTAGAGAGAGAAGAAGGAAGAAGCAGATAGACAGACAGACATAGATGTGAGAGAGAAATCTGGTTGATAATTTAAATCTGGTTGCTTCCTATATGCATCCTGACTGGGGATCGAACCCACAGCCTAGGTGCATGCCCTGACCAGGACTCGAACCTACAGCCTTTTGGTGTATGGGGCGATGCTTCAACCAACTGTGCCACTAGGCCAGGGCAGTTCTAGTAATTTCAGAGGACAGGAAATACCATATTGAAAGTACAAGAGAATTAGTGCTGCTTTTTGTATAGTGTACATTTACTCTCTTCAAAGCACTCTGTTAGTAGTTAGAGAACTGCTTGATTTTTTATCTGATGGCAACATCCCAAGATTACAGAAATTTAACTTGACTATCTTGGCCTTTGCTAATACCAAGCTGCTTGTGATCAAATTTGAGTTCTTTATTGTTGAGCAATATTTGTGGTAAAAAAATGAATAGCAAAAGACGTGCAAAATGTAATCAGTTACTGAAATATCACCACCTGGATATAATCACCATTACCTTTTTGGTATATTTTCCTCCAGTGTTTTATTTTAAATGAATGGAAATGAAAACAAAAGTACCTACTAAAAGGATTTTTTTTTTTTAATTTAACAGGGGTTGCTTTAACCGCAGATACTAAGATCCAAAGAATGCCCAGTGAGTCAGCCGCACAGTCCTTAGCTGTGGCAGTACCTTCTTCGCAGGCCAGGTATGAAATATTACACTTCTAGTGACAAAGATTTTGAAAGCATAGTTTACTGTCCACATTTTTTTATCATTTTAAAATTTGTTTCTTTATAATTATGTATTTTTCTTTATCAGTCCTTACAAAAATATAATATACAAGGTTCATTCTGCAGAACATGTGACCAGAGATGTTAACTACTTAGAATGTGATGTTTTTTGCCTCAGGGTTGATGCAAATCGTAGCGCACCTGCTGGAGGTTCTGACCGTTCACAGCCCGCAGGGATGACTTTGGTAAGTTTCTCTGTGTCGAATAACATGCAGGTTTCTATCTTTTAGAATGTATTTCCTTATTTCCCTTTATTCTAAGACTCTTACTTCAAATATTAAAAAAAGAAATTTTGGGGGACTTGTTCAAGTAAAATTGAAGCCTGAGCTAACTGTTAATCTTTTATAGCCCTAAATTTCAGTTGCTAGTGAATTGAATTTTTTGGAATTTAAAATCGTGTTAATTCTATGTCTGCTCACACATTGTTTATATTTATTTTGATGAAGATAATGTGATGCTACTCTTTACTACCCACTGTTAAATATATAAAGAATGCTATTCTGAAACTTGTATTAATATGTTTTTGATGTGAAAGTCTTTTTTAAATTAAACTCTAAATTGATTTATACAGTTGAAAAAGAATTGTAATTTCGTGAGCTATACAACTGGTGCTGTATTAGAGCATTTAGAAATATTTAAGTTTATCTATTTGTAAGTAAATGGCAGCTACTGTTATTATTGGCAGAAGTAGTTAGAGAAGAATAACCAACAATATGCTGTCCCTTGAAATAAGTGTAGGCTTTACCTTGTCAGCTTACTATGCAGTTCATGAAGAGAGTGCATTTGCAGTCCTCCCATGCACTCCTTCATTAGTCCCTATTTGCAGATCTCTCCACTCAGGCTTTCTGCCCTCTTAGGAGGAAGAAATGTTAGCTGCTTGAGGGTAGGAACTTTACGAGCATACATATTTTTTTGGATGCTGGATGGATGGATACCGACAGAAGATTGTATGTTAGCTAGAATGCCTTTTAAAATAGTATTGAAATATTTGGAGGGGAGATAAACAGAAGGACCTATCAGCTTCTCCATTACAATATTAAATCAATGATGTTAAAATATGACAATGAAGGGCAAGGGCACTAATCCACCTACAATTACTTTAATAATGATAGGAACTTATGTAGAGCGTTTACTACTCTGTTAATCTTCATTAATAACTATGTGGTAGGCACTGTTATTTCTTTTTATTATTTCCATTTTAAAAATGAGGCATATAGGTTACATGATTTTTACCCAAGGTCAGTCTGCTATTAATTGGCAGAGCTGGGTCTTGAGCTTATGCACAGTGATATGTGCTCTTAACCTTATGCTCTTTTTTTTAAAAAAGATTTTATTTATTTACTTATTTTAGAGGGGAAGGGAGGGAGAAAGTGAGGGAGAGAAACATCAATGTGTGAAAGAAACATTGATCAGTTGCACCTCACCTCACAACACCCCCCTCACCCCAAGCCAGGGACCTGACCTGCTCCCAGGGACATGCTCCCAGGCATGTGCTTCAGCTGGGAATCGAACTGGCAACCTTTCAGTTTGAGGGACAATACCTAACCCACTGAGCCACACCAGTGAGGAAAATTTTATCCTCTTAACTTTAATATTCTGCCTTTCAGATTTTTAAATTGCTTTTTAAAATTAACATACAGATCTACAGTTTTAATTAGAAGTGTTAGACTCATTTTCTAGTCATGCAAACATTTCTAACTGCCCTTTCCTCTTTATAGAGGGGAAAAACAGCTTTCATAAATCCCCTCTTTGAATTTCCATTTTTGAAAAAATTTTCATAATTCCCCTCTTCCCTTTTCTTTTTTAATAACATGAAAACTTAAGTAGGACACCTTTAATAATAATGCAATTTGTTCCATATCTAGGCTGTTATGGAGGGTGGCAATGCCAAGAACTCTGCACTGATGGCTAAAAAGGCCCCTACAATGCCGAAACCCCAGTGGCACCCGCCATGGAAACTCTACAGGGTGAGAGAATTTGTATATTATTCTGCGGCAATGAAACATCATCACTGCTTTCCAATTGACAAGAGCCAAGTAATAGAATAAGGAGGAAAAGGGGTGAATATGAGAACTGGTAAAGTGATCCTAGGTGGGATCGGGGAAGATGTCTTGGAAAGGAGACTTGTATCTTGTATAAAATACTAAACAAGTGCTGGCAAGGATGTGGAGAAACAGAAACCCTGGTGCACGGTTGGTGGGAATGCAGACCGGTGCAGCCATTGTGGAAAACAGTATGGAGTTTCCTCAAAATATTAAAAATGGAACTGCCTTGTGACCCAGCAATCCCACTCCTGGGAATATGTTCTTAGAATCCTGAAACACCATTTTGAAAAAAATATATGCACCCTTATGTGCATAGCAGCATTATTTACAATAGCCAAGATCTGGAGATAGACCAAGGGTCCATTAGCAGATGAGTGGATAAAAAAACTATGGTACATTTACATAATGGAATCGTATGTGACCATAAAAAAGAAGGAACTCTTATCTTTTGTGACAGCATGGATGGATCTGGAGATTATTGTGCTAAGTGAAATAAGCCAGTCAGAGAAAGACAAACACCATATGATCTCACTTACATGTGGAATCTAATGAACAAAATAAACTGATGAGCAGAAGAGAGACAGATGGATGAACACATGGAACAGACTGACAGCTGTCAGAGGGGATCGGGTGTGGGGACTGGATAAATGAAGGTGAAGGGATTAGCCAAAGAACATACATGCAAGATCCATAGACACAGACAACATGGTGGTGATGGTCAGAGAGAAGGGGGTGAGAGGGCTGGGGGGAGGGGGGCAACGGAGGGAAAATGGGAGCATTGATAATAGTGTCAACAATAAAAATAAAAAAAACAAAACAAGAAATACTGATAGAAGACTACTAATTGTGGAGAGCAAACAAATTTAGCAATGTGCTTGAGGTATTTAATATGGAGGTCAAGGGGGAAAACAAAAGATCAGGACGTTTCTTTGGCTGTGATAATTACCTTTTCAATTATAGTAAATTAAAATGACTTAAAATGTACAAGATCTAAAATATATATAGTAGGAAAAATACAACTATGTATAGTTTAATATATATAATTTTATTTTTAAATTATCATACAGTAAAATAGATTTCTTCTGGTATATAGATCTAATAAATTTTATTATCTATATAGATTTGGGTAACCACTACCACGATCGGGATGTAGGAGTTTCATTTTGTATAGCTGTGCCCTTCCCCGACCCTGGCAACCATTGTATTCCACCGTTATACTTGTGATTTTTTCAACTGTGTCATATAAATGGAATCTTCCTTCTCTCAGCCTAATGCCTTTGAGTTTCATCCAAGTTGTTGCAAGTATTTGTAACATTCCTTTCTATTGCTAAGTAGTACTCCACTGTATGGATACCACAGTTTGTGTATTCATGCACAGATTAAAGGTAACATAATACTTATTCTAAAATCTAATTGTCTAGTAATCTTATAATCTTGTCATTTGAAGATGTTGGAGGGGCGATCTAAACTTGAATAAACATTAACTTACATGCAATGAGTAGAAATTGAATGACCTTTAACTTATGTGTCCATTCTACATTTTTCTTTTAATACAGGTGATCAGTGGGCATCTTGGCTGGGTTCGATGTATTGCTGTGGAACCGGGAAATCAGTGGTTCGTCACTGGATCTGCTGACAGAACTATAAAGGTAATAAGGAGGGAATCCTTTGTGTTTGCCACATCTGTTTAGTCTGTTTTAAGTTATTTCCTCTGGTAGGAATTGCTCTTGTAGTTCCTCTCATTTCTTAGACCAAGTATAGAGTTAAGTTTGTTGTCTGTGCCAGTTAAAAGTCCCATCTGTTTGAAAAGTATTTAAACAACAGTTTTTTCCAAACAGAACATGCTGACTACTACCACAAATTCCTTGATACTTAATTTTTCCCTCTGGTTCTAAAGTTAAAGCATGTTCACCTATAAAAAATGTGGGAAGTATAGAGAAATATAACAACATAGGCCCATATGTAATCCTACCACTGTCGGATATTGCAATGAATTTCTTTTTAGTGTTTATTTCTGTGCCTATGTATCAGTGCATTCTCTTCTGAATTTTTTCTTGTGTGTAAAAAATGTATCTTTTAAAAGTCATGCTTGGTATGTACTTTTGAACCTTGCTTTTTTGCACTTAACATTACTTATGTCAAAGGCCCATCTCTGTGAAAAATTGATCATCTTTTAAGTGGTTCTGTGGTATTACATCATTTAGATATTTTATAATCTATTCCTATCATTGGACATCTTAGTTTCCTTTCACTATCACTACTAATACTATAATTAGCCTTTGTGCCTACAGCTTTTTCTGCTTTTAAATTATTTTATTACTGATTCCCAGAAATGGAATTAATGGGTCAAACATTTCTGAAGTTGGCACCCAAATACAAATTGTTTTCTAAAATGGTGAATTGATACTTGTAATATATGAGAGGATTCTTTTCTGCCTATTGTATCTTTAAAAATTTATACTCATGATAAGCAGAAGTGTATATCTAATTTTTCAAGAATTGTATACACAAAATTTCTTACTGAGGATGAACTTTTTGATACCTTACAAAGCTACCTTTAGGACTTTTGAATTTTTTTTCTTTTTTTCTTTTTTTTTTTTTTTGTAATTGACATACAATAATATTAGGTTAGTTTCAAGTGTGCAACATAATCATTCACTATTTGTATATATTGTGACATGATCATCAGAAAGTCTAGTTAATATCTGTCACATTACATAGTTACAAAACTTTTTTTCTTTAATGAGAACTTGTAAGATCTACTCTCAGCAACTTTCAAATATGCAATACAATGTTATTAACTATAGTCACTACATGTACATAACATCCCTATAATTTACTAAATTATAACTGGAAGTGTGTACCCATTTCATCCATCCTTCTCTCTGGCATCTGGCCACCACCAGTCTGTTCTCTACCTATGGACTTGGTTTTTCCTTTTTCTTTTTCTTCTCTCCCTCTCTCTCTCTCTTTTTTTTTAGTTTCCACATCTAAGTGAGATCATGTGCCATATGTCTTTCTCTGTCTGACTTATTTTGTTTAGCTTAAACCCTCAAGGACCATTCATGTTTTCATAAATGGCAAGATTTCATTCTTTTTTATGACAATAATATTTCATTGTATGTATCTGTGTCACATTTTCTTTATCTATTTATCAGTTAATGGACACTTAGATTGTTTCCATAGGAGTTTTTTTAAGTGGTTGCCATCTTTGACTAATTTAATACCATGGTATTCATTCTTTTATTATCAGTGATATCCTTTATACATTAAGAATGTTAATCTTTTGTCATCTGTTACAAATATTTTCCCAGTTTGAGCCTACCTTTTAATTCTGTTTTTTCCTTGCTTTTATTTTTGGTGGTGGTGGGGCGGGGGCTGTTTTGCAGATTTAAACAATTTTTTATATGCTTATATCTTTCACATTTTGGAGACTTCTTTTTAACATCAGGTTTCTAAAATTTTGTTCTGGGATAACCAACAAGAAGTCAAATGAAATATTCTTTGATTGCAGATCTGGGACTTGGCTAGTGGCAAATTAAAACTGTCATTAACTGGGCACATTAGCACAGTTCGTGGTGTGATAGTAAGCTCGCGGAGCCCATACCTGTTCTCCTGTGGAGAAGACAAACAAGTCAAGTGCTGGGATCTTGAATACAATAAGGTGAGGTTGGCTATAAGGATTGAAAACATTATGAGCCACTGTTTTTCTTTCTAATTATAGAAATTTTACCTTTCCTGTTGTATTTGTAGGTTATAAGGCACTATCATGGACATCTGAGTGCAGTGTATGGTTTGGATTTGCACCCAACAATTGATGTGCTAGTAACCTGTAGTCGAGACTCCACTGCACGGGTAAATTTAATAGCGCTTTGTGTTTATTTGTAAATATGTTGCATCTCACAGTGTGCTTGTTTGGTATTGGAGTCATATATTGTTTTATAGAGAACCTGGTCCCTCCATTTTTTGACTTGTATGTCTCCACACCTTCATCATCAGTTCCGTGGCCTCAGCGCGCCTATCACTAGGAGTGCCCTGTCCCTGAAATGTTCCGCCCTCACATTTCATTCCATCACAACTGTTGGGCAGGAGTGGTTTCATTCAGTAGTTCCATCACCCGTTCTTAGACTTCCCATCCCCTGATCTTCTCTTTTCGCTCCCCTGCGCCCCCGTCAGCTGTCTCCTGTTTTCAGCCCCCAGGCAGCTTCGAGATTATTCTCTTAAGTGCCTTCCTCATTATAGGCAGGCACAGTTGTGTAGTAAATTCCAGGCCTTGAATTCATTCAGTTACCTGCCTGAGACGTGAATACCTGTTCCCTTTGATGGTATGTCTGTTGATGTCTGTGAAGTGTGCGGGTGCATTTTTTTATAGATTTGGGATGTGAGAACTAAAGCCAGTGTACACACATTATCTGGACATACGAATGCAGTTGCTACAGTGAGGTGTCAAGCTGCAGAACCACAAATTATTACTGGTAAGATTGATACTTTCCAAGTTTACCATATATTTATATCAATGCATTATGATTGTACACTTGAAATTTATTATAATATTTTGTTATACTTCTTACATATCATAGAATATAAATATCATGTAATGTCTGACTAGAAAATGGTGATGTTAGATAAATGAAGCATTATTTCATAATACCAGATTTATTGCTCTAAAAATTTTTTTAAAAGATTTTACTTATTTATTTTTAGAGAGAGGGGAAGGGAGGGAGAAAAAGAGGGAGAGAAACATCGATGTGCGAGAGAAACATCTATAGGATGTCTCTGGCGTGCCCCTAACTGGGGACCTGTCCCACAACCCAGGCATGTGTCCTGACTGGGAATCGAACTGGTGACCTTTTGATTCACAGGCCGGCACTCAGACCACTGAGCCACACCAGCCAGGGCTGGTGTAGAAAATTAAAGTTAGAAGACAGGATACCTGAGACCAATAACCTGTAGAACAATTTTGAGTCTTGTTTTACATAAAATTAATAAAAATGTATATTTACTCTAAGACTAGACAATAATTCTGTGATATATTTTATTAACTAAAATATTATTTGAGTTTTTTTCTCCCCTTCCACAGGGGAATAACATCATGTATTTGTTTTTATTTGTTACTGGTATTTGTTCAAACTGTTCAGTTGAACATGTATTTGTTTTTATTTGTTAAACTGGTATTTGTTCGGACTGTTCAGTTGACAGTATATCAAGCATATATTACATTTTTTAAGAAATAAATTTAAAACCAGCCCTGGCCAGTGTGGCTCAATTGGTTGAATCATAGTGCCCTACCAAAAGGTCACAGGTTCAGTTCCCAGTCGATACACATGAGAGAAGGCAACGGATCGGTGTGTCTCTCTCACATTGATGTTCCCCCACATCCCTCTTTTCTTCTCCTCTCTCTCTCTCTCTAAAAGCAATGAAAAAATGTTCTTAGGGGAGGATTTAAAAACAAATTTTTTTAAACAAGCTAAAATTTTGGAAGGCCAAAGCAATTAGCCAAGAGTTGATATAATTTTCAAATGGTATATATGTGTCTATGGGAGAATACATCGTATTTTATTATAGTTTTGCATTCTTTCCCTGATCTGTGTTTTGGGGGGTTTTTGTTACAGGAAGCCATGACACCACGATACGGTTATGGGATCTGGTGGCTGGCAAAACAAGAGTCACATTAACAAACCACAAAAAGTCGGTCAGGGCTGTGGTGTTACACCCAAAACAGTAAGTGTGTTTTCCTAATTAGTTCCCCTTCTCCCTTCAGTTTTTGGTATAGTACAGAAATGCCAACATTAATATTACTTTGGTAGTCATTTAAACACTTATTTCCAGGCCTATTCCACTTAGGAACATGCATTTCTTTCATTTTCCTTATGTATTTTTCTTCGTGCCCTATAGATGAGAAAAGTTTTCTGCATGGTAAATAATGATAATGTCAAATGAAACAACATAAATAAATCATGTTTCAAAGCTGCATATCAAAACAAGCTAAGAGTAGATAGATTTAATGTTTTGGACTTACGTTGTTTATTGTGCGCTGAGATACACATAACATAGTTTGATTCTTAAGGAGGAAGTTAATATACATAGGGAAAAAGGCAGGGACTGAGAACGTCACAGGCAGGGCATCCAAAGAAGCAGAGCGTAGCACCCCAAGCTGCTGTTTGTCGTGTCACGTCACCCCGATCTCTTCATACTCATGTCTTTTCTCTCCTTCCTCTCCCGGCCTTATCCTTGCTGCCTCTCTCCTACTTTTCTTTCTTTCTCTGTCTTCCTCATCCCCCTTCTTCATCTCCTCACTCCCTCTTTCTTACTCTTCCTCTCGCCTTGTTTCTCTCCTTTTCTCCCGCTCTCCCAGTAGTTCTCTCCTTCTGTTCTCTCTCTCTCTCCCCCACATAGTTGCACAGCCCCCTGCCCTTTTTGTGAATTTATTTCTGTAGCTCGGTATAGAGCACTGGGGAAGCGAGAGGACAATAAAACATTAATCCAGGCCTTAAAATACATTTAAAATAATTTGAAAATCTGAATTAACTTGAAACAAATGTCATGATATTTTTATCTCTTGGTATGACAGTAATATTTGGCTGAAACTACATGGATTGCTGAATACATGTGCTAAATACAACCATAATAAGCTTCTTTAAATCTACCATTTTTGTTTAACTTGGTTTACTTTATTAATTGTTTTTAATCTTATTTCAGTTACACATTTGCATCTGGTTCTCCAGATAACATAAAACAGTGGAAATTCCCTGATGGAAGTTTCATTCAAAATCTCTCTGGTCACAATGCTATTATTAACACATTGACAGTAAATTCTGATGGAGTGCTTGTATCTGGAGGTAAAATAAAATTTTTGATAAATGTGTGTTTTAGAATGTCATTTTTTCTTTTAGTGAATAAGTAAACATTTGTGTAATTTCTGAGCCATCACACCTACATGCTATGCAAAACTTACCTAGTTAATGTGTATTTGAATGTTTTTATGTGTGTTCCTGCTTGATCATAATACATGCAGCATGTTTCATAGTTTAACCTCTTTTGAGTTCCCACATGACAAACCTAAGTTTGGAATTTATGCTGGGACTCACCTGAAGTTTGTACATTCTGGAATTGGATGTCATTTTGTGGTGCTTTTGAGATTTGTAATAAATTCTAAATTTAAGCACAGTCGAAAGTGGACAAACCAATATTGAGAGAAACGTGTGCCTGTATCTTATATGTCTTTATAACTGTAATTATTGCCATAGTGCTCAGCTAATGGTTGGTGCTTAATGCTGGTCAAGCTGAATTGTTGAAGGGATACCAAGTTTAACCACATCTTTCCCTTTAAGCTGACAATGGTACAATGCATCTTTGGGACTGGAGAACTGGCTACAATTTCCAGAGAGTTCATGCAGCTGTGCAGCCTGGGTCTTTGGACAGTGAATCAGGAATATTTGCTTGTGTTTTTGATCAGTCTGAAAGTCGTTTACTAACAGCTGAAGCTGATAAAACCATTAAAGTGTACAGAGAGGACGATACAGCGGTAAGTTCTCTATTTCATATGTATATTAAAGTAAATCAGCTGTACCAATTTTGCAAGTGTTTTCTCATTTTAAAGTTACTGGAAATTTTCAGAAGGGAAAATAATCTTTATAATATTAAAGTATTTATTATCTTGAGTCCTGTTTGCTCATAGCTTTCTGTATTGGTTTCAATGATGCCAACAAATCCATAGATTGTTTCTATGGATTTCTTATTCTAACTTTTCTTATTACAGTTACTGAGAAAATGTTGCTTAAGAACAGATAGATTGCTGTACAAATGAATTCTAGAATCATCAGCTTTGGTGTTACTAGAATAGCTACATAGCAACTTTATTTGAGATGAAAAACCATAAACTGGATGTGTAGTGACCTCGTTCATCCTTTATTAGATACAGATAATGCCAAAAGTTTATCAGCAATTTCTGAAATTGTTAAGTAAATACATAATGCCAAGTAATATAATTTAGAACAGATGCCTTATTTTTGTTAGGAAGAAAGTTATTATAAATGAAGTAAACTAATACTTTATTTTCTTATTTACTTTTCAATTTTCAGACAGAAGAAACTCATCCAGTCAGCTGGAAGCCAGAAATTATCAAGAGAAAGAGATTTTAATGTGACATTCTCTTCACAGTGTTTTTTGTTTTTGTTTTTGTTTTTGTTTAGCCTGGTGTTGATGAGGATACCCAGTCATCTTGTGCTCTGGCTAGTATTATAAAGCAGAAACTCACATGCTTGAATCATTGCTGCTTAATATTTTATAATAAAATGTGTTGTCTCCCCCTCCCCATGTTTTTATTTCTAAAATAAACTGAGATCCTAGGAAGATGCAGATAATCAAACACATGCAGATTTGTTGAATATAACTAAAGATAGAATATTTTGTCAATTTTAAAAGACACATTTTTTTTTTTCTTTTGACTTACCAGATTGCCTGTCATAACAGGACTTGTTTTGAGGGAAAGTTTTTTTTTTTAATTCTTTAAAAACTAGTATCTGTGACTGATAATTTTGTATTAGAGTATTTGAGGTTTTAGTTTAACTTTTGTATGTTGATTCCACAGACAGCTTTTGAGTGCATGTTCTGCAAAGTTCTGCACTAGATACTGTTTAGAATACAGACCAATAAGATGTGGCTATCCTCCAAGACTCCTGATTTGTTATAGAATGCTATAGTAGAGGTGCAAGTGAAAAGCTGGGGCAGCACAGAGGAAAAGACTCTTTTTCTGGGAGGATTGTGGAAGACTTCATGGAGTAAGTGGTATGTGAGCAGAACCTTGAGAGGGCAGAGAAGGAAATGGGTATTCTGAGAGGGAACAACGTAAATGAAACCAGCCAGACGTGTGAAAGTGCGTGTCGTGTGCCAGGGAGAAAGTGTCGTCTGCTGCCATGGAGTGTGCACAGCTGGTTGGGGATGGGGAAAGCTCGGGTTTTGAGTCTGGATTGGTCGTCAGTGCCAATATAGGTATCAGAACCTGGAGGACTCACTGGAGATGCCAATAGAGCTATTTGAAGCTATAGCAAGGGCTGGAGTGGAAAGGGCTGGAGACTTTATAGAAAAGTGTTAAGTTTCTAATACCTATGCCTCTTTTTGGCAAACATGAGTTTTATAAATCCTGCCCTTAGGATCCTGACTCCCCATCAATCAAGCAGATTTGTCAAACTTCACTACCTATAGTTAGAAAATGCAGTTAAAAGAATAATTGGCTTAACTTTTTTTTTCCAAATTAAAAATTACAGTTTTGGATAAGCATTTCCAAGTTACATGTTTGATCTTGCATGCTATAGGTGGGAGTGTAATTGTTAAAACCTTTAGGTGGATAGTTTTCTGGTATATATTGAAAATGCTTGACCTCTTTTGCTAACTCTTTATTAGAAATGAAATTACTAGGAAACTTCCTAATAGGAATAATCTGACAAGCATACATAAGCAAGTTTATTGCATCTGTGTTCTTTAATAGTTAAAACTAACCCAGATGTCCTATTGATAAAGGGCTGGTTTAATAGATTATGATACCTTTGTGGGATTTATTTCTATCAATTAAAAGTGAGGAATGTCTCTGGACTAATAAGATGTCCAGACTTTTATGTAAAAAAAAAAAAAATGCAAGCACTGGTAAAATAACTTGTTAATGCTCTAAAAGATAATGGAGAAGCAGCACCACATTGTTATCAGTGGCTTTGTGAGGGAGTGGGATTATGGGAGAACATTCATGATTGGCTATATATTTCCATGTTTTAATTTTCTATAAGTGTGTATTGTAAACTTAAATAAATTTTAAAAAAAACAACAAAACACTACACGTGCATCCCTGACAGACTCTAATATGGCCTCTAACAGAAGACAAATTGAAGATAGCCCCATTATCCTGCCTAGCAAATCTTCAACTTTTGTGTTAGCCACAAGTATCAAACCCTGAAAAGCATTTCAACAGTCCATTTCCCTGCTTCATGCTTTCCTGTATTATGGTGTTCTTGAATCCTCTTGCGAACACTTGCATCTACCATATGTAGTCCTGAATCCCATGAAAATTTAAGCAGAATTTCGTATGTGTGCCCTTGATTTTGTAGAACCCCACACCGAATTAAACTCAAATCTCTAACCGCGCCTATGCCTTCAGCACATGCAAGTTGTAAATTGTTAGGAGGACATTGTGCTACTAGACTCCTTCTTGACTTACGACCATGTATCTCAATAATGACCACATAACATGCTTCTATAGTTAATGTCTTCTGCCTCCTGTTAAGGAGGATGAGCCACCCACCCAGGAATGAGCTCCGCAGCACACAGTTGTTGCCCTAGACTCTGGTCTTCTCAAGGACCTTGCACCTATGATTCATCCCTTTCTCTTCGTCATAAACCCTTTTGCTTTTTACCAAATGATTTTCAACAAATTTATTCAAATATGTATTTAATATATGCATTTAAATAAACACGCCCATCTTTAAAAAGACAAATAATTATGCCTGTCTTCCAAAAAGAAAAAAAAAAAACCCTAACATCCCTTCTAATATGTACATTTTCTCTTTTATCATCAGACTCCTAGAAAGCTTTCATAAGCTTATCCCTAAATTTCCTCACTTCCCATTCTTTCAATTGACTCTAATCCAAAAAAATGAAAACAAATCTGTTAAACATTGTTCTTAGATACATTGTTGTCACTATTGCAGGTGTCCCCATTTTGCCTCTCTTCCCCCCTTCCTCTTGCCATTGTCCCCCCTTTCCCTCTGGCTTTCACCACATCGTTGTCTGTGTCCGGAAGGTGGAGGGATTAGGTAATGCACTTTAAATTTTTTTAGAACCTAGATAAGAAGGGAAGCTTTTGTGTGTTTTAAAATGTGAGTATAACAAAGATACCCAAATCCAATAAAGCACAAATAAAGGAAATTATGATTTCATATTGCTTATAAATGTCAATGCAAAAGTTATGAGAGTCTAATAAAAGAATCAAGTATCACATAACCAAGTGAAGTTTATTCTTAAGAGTGCAAAGACAATTTATTATTAGGAAATAGTATAATTCACCATATTGGTTTGTGTAAGTAGAAAAATTATGAGCAGAATGTAACTGGAAGCCAATTGGCAAAAAAGCCCAGAAAATGGTGGGGTCTTTTTTGACTTTCAGCCACAAAGCATTACAAAGCAGAGGATAGGAGACAAGTCTGGGGCTGGCAGGTGAAAACACCCAGCCATCTTATGTAAGAATCATGTAGAATTTTAGCTTAAAAAACAAATACAAGGATACTTTTTGGTTAATTTCTTTTTATACATACTTTTGGTTGCCTGTTTTGGCACTCAAACGTTTTGAGTGTTTCCCGGAGGATCGGGGTGGGCAAAAAATATCCATGATAACTGGAATGTGAGATGTCATAAAACTACCACACTGGAGGTCCCCTGGGAGTGACCATAGATGTGCCAAAGAAGATGTGTTCATTCAGACCTGTGACCCTGAAGAAGCTTCACAGGAGCAGGAGCATTAGAATGAGACTTGCATAATGGAAGAAGAGGAAAGGGGAAAACATTCCCAGATGGACAATGAGATCAAAACCAGAGGTGAGGAAGTGTGTTGTGAGCCTAGCCAAGGCTTGGTGCCGAGTAGAACATAAGGGTGTGGGTTTGGGGTGGGGAACAAGTCCAGTCACTTGGGAACAGCACCTTTTGGAGGAGAGACTTGAATATTGAGCTAAGAATTTGGCTTTTATTCTGCCAGCTAATGAATAGGCCATGGGAAACCATTCAGGTACACTGGAACTGCGGGAAAAGATCACGAGCACATATATTTGAGGCCAGGTTAATGAACGTATAGAGCGGTGGGTCTCTACCTTGTGGAACCCGTGGCCCCTACTGACCAACAAACACACACCTACCGCAGGAGGTCTTTATAATGCCTGCTATAAATAAATCACTGCCCTGTGCTGCGCACGTCAGCCAAGCCTGATTTTGTCAAAATTGCTTTTTCTAGTATTCAAAAAAAAAAAAATTTAATAGAAAATATATAATTCTAAAAATAATTGGTTTGTGAAATTATATTAATGCTACACTCAAAAGCTATTGTGGTAAATGTAAATTGCTAACGTTACTTTGTGAAGGTTTGGCAATGCATGTTACATTTTATTCATCAATGTATTTTTAGCACCTAGAACAGTGACACCTAGTAGGTACTCAGTATGTTTTGTTAGATAGTTGAAGTCAGATATTTTAAATAACGGAAATTGGAAGAATCACCTCTTAGTGATCTGATTTGATTTTTTTACTTTTGTAATAAAAGTAAATTATTGAATGAATTATTAAACAGTGAAAGATTGAAAGTAATTTTAATGAAGATAAGTTATACTTCTATGAATTTAAAATAATTAACAGTTAACACTTAGCAAACTCATAGATTTAGAAGACACTCTGATGACATAAAGCTGAATTTACAACATGTGAGTTATATCTCACAGCATTTGTACTGATAAGAAGTAGCAACTGGAACTGGAATGGAAATCACCCCTAGAAAGGCAATATTTGGTTGATATCTCGGACATCATTTAAAAAATATGCTTATTGATATTAGAGAAAGAGGAAGGGAGAGAGAGAAACATTGATTGGTTGCCTCCCATATGCACCCCAACTAGGAATTGAACCTGTAACATAGGCATATGCCCTGACCAGGAATCAAACCTGCAACTTTTGGTGTTTGGGATGATGCTCCAGCCAACTGAGCCACACCAGCCAGGGCTTTAACATCATTTTAAAAATCATGCTTATGAATTTCTTTAAAACTTTCAGACAATCCCGTTTTTCCACCATCAGTAACATCCTGGTGACCTATCTTGTCACACTGTCTTTTCTTCTGATCAGATGGCTGCCCCTCTGGGGGAGGAGAGGGCAGCAGGTCAGAGCACGGCCCACAGACCTGCCCACCCCGGCGTGACTCTTGGTCCTGCCCCTGATTGACAGGTGCAGCGTGCCTGCTGGCAAGTTATTACACTTCTCTGTTTCCTAACTGGTAAAAGTCGGGTAATAATAGTACCAATCCCATAGAGCTGCTGTGCCTCTTTAAAAGCAAAGTGGTCATCACAGGACCTGGCACACAGTAAACATTTAAGTATTAACTATTATTTCCCCTGGGTACCTTGACTTTCATCATTCTTAGTTGCTGCTATTTTTAAGCCTTTTATAATTGCCTAAAAAGTGTTATAGATTCTTCACTCTCACTTCTAGCTGGAGTTGGTAAATTAGTTTTACACTCTAGGGAATTGATCTCTCCCAAGATGACTGGAAAAGCCGCTGTTTTTGTTTCCCTGCAAATCGAGCTGTCCCTGGACAATGCCGTCTACAGCACAGGAAGGGGCATCCATGCCGTGTGCAGGCTTCCCTTACCAGTGCGTTTCATTATCTTCCTCCCCACACGCTTTTCTTCTTACAGTGTGTGCGTGTGTACATGTATAGAAGACATGTAATATATAAAATACCCTGGACACATTTGACTTTAGTTGATGTTTAATTGTTTGACTTAGAAAAAAATTAATGGAAGCTTATTTATGTGGTTATTTATAATAAAACAGGTGAATTTTCCCTGCTATCTTGCCCTCTACTGGCATTCAATTCTACATGAACTCCCTTTCAAAGACTTCAAAGACCAAAGAGACTGTGAGTTAATATCCGATAGCGATTCTCCTCTCCTTTCCTAGGAAGGAAAGTCTTGTTTTGGGGGGTGGGGAGGAGGGTCATGCTTCCACCTAAAGTTTCAGCTACATATTTCCGCCTTTGTTGCAGCTATGTGTGGCCCTGTGGGAAAGTCCTAGCTGGTCGTGTGAGACCTCCAGCAAGGTCGATTTAAAGTTGTTGACTCAGCCCGGAGGTTTGAATTTTGCATCCTTCCTTCTGTCAAAAGTCAAAGGTAGTAAGCAGTTGGAAGTCCAGTCATCATCTTGGGACAAGGGGTGACCTGAGGACCGAAGCGCGGCCTAGGGTCACGGAGCAACAGCGCAGAAGCCTGAGGTCTTTTTCACCCCAGTGCCGCTACCCCAGCTCTGCACTGCTCTCGTCTAGACTTCCGCCATATGACACGGAAATCAACTTTTATCTGCCTTAAGCGACTGTTACTTTAGGTTTTCTATTACAGATAGCTGTGTGGAATCTCAGCAGATGTAGCGGGCATGTTTTTTCAGTGACCTCAGAAATGGGTCCCCCGCAGGGCCAGTTGCAATGGGAACTCATCCAAGTCTCATGGCAGGGAGAGGACAAGGGTGAGGGGATGGCTCTTTTGTTGAATGACCGGTTGTCAGAGTGCAGGCAACAGTGAGAGGAAGTTGTAGCTTCTCCGCCAGGGGCAAGACGATGTGCTCAAAGGAAGGGCAAGTGATAGTCCCACAGGTGTTGGCCGGCTTCCTGACGCTGCCAAAGGCCGGGGCAGGATTTGGGTGGACTCTCTGCTCTTGAAAGGGTTATAAACTCTCTGTCCTATTCCCCTAACTACCTCTTTAAGTCTTAAAATCTTAGTTTAGGAATCAAAAATAATACTACTATAAATAGTTTGTTTCTCCTTGGATTCCTTGTTCTAACGATCTTAACCCTCCTCTGGGCAGCATAATCGTCTCCGACCGATGGGCCGACAGATCGGGAAGTAGGGGAGAGGAAAGCAAGGATTAATATTATGATATTATCTCACTACAAGTACCTGCCATCAGGATGTTTCCTAACACTGTGGTAACATGAAGAAGAATTTGCTCGAGCAAATCACAATCTGTGTAGTTGCTGTTTATTTTTAAAGATACCAACAAAAGAAAAATATCCATGAAACCTCCTAA